AATTATGTTTTTCCCTCTTCTTTTTTACCTATTAATTATATGGGCGTGTTAAAAGTGCTTTTCCACTAGAATCACTAGAATAAAATCCTCCCCTCATCCCTCCAATGCTTAAGTCAATCTCTAACTCCTATGGTGTGGCTTTGGAAAATGGTTTGCTTGAGATTTGGAACTGACTTTTCACGACTCTCTATTGATCATGCTTGTGGTCCGCTTTTAAAATGAATCGCTTCCCTGTGATGCACTTGTCTGAGTGCTCTTCTGATACGGCTGAGCCATTTTGGTGAACGTCTGAAATCTAGTTGGTGCATTATTGAAATATTTTAAGTTGATTTTATTTGGTTATGCTTTCTCGGTTGAGTTTTGATTTTTGAATGAACTATGCTCGTGAAAAGCGGATGCTGTAATTTGACTTTTTGTGTTATGATTTCTCTGCTGACTTTTGATTCTCCACCCTACTGTTTTATTAGTTGAATAAGATTAAACGGACAATTTGCAAAACCATTTTGATATGTAAACAGGGGTTGGCTGACCATAAGGATTCACTGGGTGCACCTCTTTGCCCTTGTAGGTAATATTTTCTACATCATGCTATTTGGTTCAGAATTATCAGCATTTAATTTGTACTTCTAGTGGTCTCACGGGGTTAATTATCTCCAGTCATAACTGTCCAAGCTTGATTTTATGGTGAACAGGCATTATGATGACAAAGCTGCAGAGGCTGGGCAGGGCTTTTGGAACTGTCCATGTGTCCCCATGAGAGAGAGGTAGATATACCTGTATCTATGTGAACTAGTATCTGTCTTATAGTTAGCTTATGAGTAGTTTGGAGGATAGATTGGAGCTATACAAGGCACATCTTAATGTAGATATATGTTTGGAGTTATCTGTTAATCATGTTTTCAATATTCTGTGTATATTGGGTTAGACTCGTTAAGTTGCACACTTGTGACAGCTAATTTTGCTTGTAATTAGAGAATTTAGTAACCATGATTGTTTTGATTTTAATAATAGTAGTGAATATCTTTGAATAGATGACTGTTGGTAAATGCAATGCTTCCAAGATCCTTTTAGGAAACAACCATGCATGAATGTCTTGTTCTCCATCTAGTGGCTGCCTGATAATTGGCACGAGAGCATTTAAACCTTTTCCCTTTGGTGGTTTATTGAGGTGAACAGTTTTTCTTTTTCTTTTTTGTTTTTGGTAAATTACCATTTTTATTAGAAGGAAAATAAAATAAAATTACACCCATGACCCATCTAGATTCAACTACAAAGACAGCAGCACTGAATACAAGCTGAAGCCAAAGGAAGATGGCAAACCGTAGAGGGAAAAAAACAGAATGAGAATACACTAAGAACAACATATCAGCTTACATTTGGCACTAGTACATGAGAATCTTGTACATACCATGAATCCACTTCAATATAGTAGCAACTATGATGGTTATGCCAGGCATCTAGAGCATGCTTACCACAAGTCACTATCCTTGCAATCAAATATTAGTTTGTAGGAATTCAAGAAAATGCTCGCCCAAAAAACAAGCATACTAATCTTCCATCACAATTGGCAACACGTGGCAAGGATAGTACCATAACAGGATAGCAAGAACATCCAACTGCACCTGCTTAGCACCTCTACATCTGCTAAACTTAATTGATTGCCCCATCACAACCATGCTACCATGTCATATACTCTCCTAATGCCCTGTTTTGCCAAACCATCTGCTATTGAATTTGCAGCTCTTGGGGTATGCTTAAAGACTACCTCTCTAAAGAACTTAGACAGAACATCTATCTTATTAGCAATCATTTTGGAGTATGAGAATGACAGAAAGAACTTCTACCTTCCCCATAATCCAAGCAAAAGGATTACTGGAGTCAATTTTGTAAATATAGGAGCCTGAAAGTTAAGTATCTTTATGGTGGGAAGATAGTTTCTGAGCCAAGATAAGTATTAGTGAGTGACAACTATTTATGCAGCAGAAATTATTTTGTTAGTATTGAATTAGAGGAAATATGCCCCTGGGTTATTGGGGAGATACTATGGAGGTAACATGGTTGCTTGTTTGGCATCCTCATAGTTAGGGAAAATTTAGTGGTATAAGGGATCTGCAAGAAATAGTGAGATGGTTTTGTATCTTCTTGCTTTTGGTTTTGATCTTGTACCTTTATGTTAAGGTCTTGCAGAGATCCCCAACCCAAGAGCCACACAGGTATGAGCTTTGATTCCACTACTCTTTCTCAATTATGAGGAGGTTGAAGAGGAGTACAAAAACTGGATTTGGTTGGATGACAAGGATACACCCATCTCCTGTCATGTTGAGTGGATGATTTTTGGCAGAAACTTTGCTTAAGATAGTTATTAGGCAATGTATTACACATAATAAAGAATGCTCAGTCTAGCAAATGTAATATCAATAACAGATTTTTAAACTAGTTTGAGAGGAATTTTGCGATGCACTGATTGGACTCACATGCTGGAAGTTTGGTTGGATTGTATTTGCAATCAAGAGCATTAATGGCTCCTAACTTGTGATATGGTTGAAGTTGACAAAAATTGACATTTACCAACAACTTTCCATAAACTATGTATTCTTGGATAGATCAGAGAGTGAAAGAGGATGTTGTTAAACAGCCTTGAGATGCTACTGTCAATTTAAGCCAAGCACTGATCATAGCTTTTAAAGGACGTACTAGATTATATATGTTGCAATTTTTCATCTTTGTACTTTGGTGAAGGTATTAACCAAATGAAAGGGATGGAGGAAAAAGGTTTTAATCAAGCGAGTTGAATGCTTAGCTGAGACTTCATGTTAGCAGGACTGCTCCTTTCCATGATTTAATTAGGCACTGAGTGTAGCAGCCTCTATATAATCACCATCATGTTTTGGTGATATTAATAGCACCGTGGAAAATGTGTATATCTTTGCTCTTGAAACTTCTTGTGGTCTGAAACTTGCAAGAAGAAAACCTTGAATAACAGTTGAATTTCAACATGTAACATGCTTATACAAATAACTCCATTGATAAACGTAACTGCCTGAAGATATAAAAATGCATTCTAGGGTTAAAGTGCTGATCTTTTGTCTTGGCTAAAGAAAAGATCCATTGTGCCCTTTTTTGACATGTTATCCATATGCATAAAGGGCAACTAAATTCTTGCAAGACATAATTTTGAACTCTATACTAGTCTGAACTTTGCTTGAGAGAGGTAATGTCTTCTTTGTTCTTATGTAGTTTGAGCTTCTACAAATTGGAGTTCACCTATTTGTCCAATGCATGAATTTTTTCACTGTTAATCAGTTCTTCATTCTGCAGGAAGGAGTGCCACTGCATGCTCTTTCTCACTCCAGATAATGATTTTGCTGGAAAGGATCAGGTAATTCAAATACCTTATTTTGGTTTATTACTAATTAGCCTCTCAAATATAATGTTTTGAAAATTTTGAAGTGGCTGTTGTAATCCTTATGAAGTGAATGGAGTTTCTTTGTTTTTCTTATTTGTGACAGTCATGATAAGAATCTCAAAATTGATGAACATTTCAGGCGTAAATTAGACTCACAGTTTTTTGCATGTACCACAAAATAGCCGACACCATAATAACAATTTGTTATAAGGGACTTTTAACCACTTCCATTGTGTTTGTTTTGTTGGATTGGAAGATGTCTTATTTTTCAATAATTTTTTTGTACACTTTTCTTTCTAGTAGGATTTCTTTTTTCATGAAAAAAATGACTTGAGTTTTTCATTTTCCCACTTCTAATGCAATTTTATGGTTTTCTTGGTTTGCAGACAATCTCATTGGAAGAAATCAGGGAAAGCACAGCAAATATGTGACGTCTTGTGTATTGAATTGCTCATTTAATGAGTTATCACTTTGCATTTTGCATAAACATTCTGTACTTATCATGTGTATGTATATCGTATGCTATACTTGCTAATTGAAAGGGAAAAAAAGAGAGCAAAAAAGACATCTGAGTTCCGAATCTGTACCCCGACATATTCCACAAAAGCTTTTGCATGGCAATGACTTGTTGACATATATTCGAATACAGGATGTTCATAGGAAAGTTACATGCCTATCATAGGAGATGAGCCCTAAATTATTGGCCTCGTCACAGCTAAAGAAATCGTTGGGGCTGCATTCAGTATTGGGTCTGTGAAAGCTCCAGGTATGGCATCCCGGGTTTATTCTTGCATAAATTATGGGACACTCTGGGTAGGTGATGAAGGTTGTCAGATGATTTTGCTATTTGTAAGAGTAGTCCTATCAAGGGACCTAAACCACATCCAGATTGCTTCAATCCCCGAGGTAAAAACCCAGAAACCATACGGTAGTATAGACCAGCCAGTCTGTGAGTTTGTTTACAAGATGATTTCTAAAACCTTGTCAAGCCGTTTCAAGTATTTTTAATATGATTATTTTCAGTGAGTTTTCTCTCAGTGATTAATTTTTTTTAACTTGTTATCAATTTTTTTTATTTCATCTTTTTTATTTTTTCTGTTGATAATTTCTATTATTTATATTTCCTTGAGATATTAAAGTTTTAATAAGATCTTGGAGTTTAATTTGAGGTCAATTTAATGATGTGGTTTTAATTTTTGCTGTTAGGATATAATTAAAAAAAAATAAGAATCAAACTGGGAAAAAAATAAAATTGGGTGGCTTATCTAAAATTCACCTGCAAAAGTTATGTTTAAGTTATGTTTAGTTTTTATATTCTACGTTGACTTTGTTTTACATTCCTTATCCCTTTAGTTTTTTTGAATTTTAGTTTGGGTCTAAATTTTTATTTTGTTTATTTTTTATTTCTTTGATTTGAAAGGAAAGAGAGAAACTCATTAGAAAGTGAAGAATGAGATAAAAAATTACAATAAAACAAGTTATTTTTTATGTTAATATATTAAATTTCAAGATGTTTTTTTATTATCTATCTCATTGAAAAAAGTTTTTTTTTTCTAGTTTAATTTTGTATTTTTAAAAAAAATTAGAGGTATTTTGAGTTGTGGTTTAGTGGTTACCAGGATTTTTTTGGTATAAAAATAAGTTAAAAAATATTTTTTTAGGTAGGAAAACACTAACAACTTTTTCACCTTCTCTTCAATGGTTTCAAAAGTGGGCAGGCAAACTGCTTTTTTAAAAAAGAAATAAAAAGGGGTATGCAACATATCACTCGCTCTTTGGGCAAGTAAAAAAGATCAGGCCTTGCAATCCCACACATGTGACCTCTTCTTTTGATGGTTGGGTACGCTAAGCCATACAGGCCTAGTCACTTGACATATTGTTTACCAGGTCCATTATGATTTTTATTTGATTTCATTTGATTAAGAGTTGTTCAATTTATATTTGATTTTTTTAATAAGATTATAGTGTTTTTTTAATTATCAATCACTTATTTTGTGCATCCCTTCGTGATTTGTCTTTGTTTTTTCTTAGATTTTATCTGTCTTTTATGTTTTTTTTTTAAATTATCAATCACTTATTTTGTGCATCCCTTCATGATTTATCTTTGATTTTATCTTTTTGTTTTTTATGTGTATTTTTTATTTTTTATCACATGATTAGATATAAAAATGGACTAAAAAAAGTTGTGTATTATTTTTATATTTCTTAATACATCCAGGCATAATAATGAAAACAAAAACTTTTTTATTAAAATTTTCTTCCATGCTTCTGAATTTTTTTTTCCTCAAAAAATAAATATTCTTATAAACAAATTATCAATATATGAATCAGGATAATGAAGTTTTAATTAAAAAGATGCATTTTTTTAATCCTTATTCTAGATTGTCTAAAGTTGTTTGGATATTTATTTAAATTCCCTTTGATTTTTATTAGACGAGGCCCGTTGCTAAAAAAAAAAAAATCTATGTTTTTTGGTTGAGAAAAAATAATTTAATTAGAAAAAAAAGATTATAATAGCAAAATGATACCTCTATAACTGTCTGCTTTAAAATTACAAAAGGTTTATCTGTGAACACTCATTGTTGTTTATAATTGAAAATTATTTTTCTACTTCACATACTAGTTTTTGGGCATTGAATATAAGTTATGGTTTCATATTTGCAATAATATGCAATAACTAAAATAAAATAAAAGATTGTATAAAGGTGAAGTGGACTTATGTATTGGCAATGAGCACGAGTTTCTGCATTAATTATATGAACATAATGTTTAATTTTTTCCAGTGAATTGATGCTAAAATTTGATTATTATTATTTTGTTCTAGTATTTTCTATAAAATCATATTCATTTCTTACTTAACTTTGAATATATTTAAATTTATTATCAATAGAAAATGTTGCTCTTTATATAATAATAATATTTATGAAGGTTTTGATATTTATACAAATTATTTATGTATACTTGGTTTAAAAATGTCTATGTTCAATATAAACAACAACAAAAAACAAATTAGATAATCAATATTCATCGTATTTATGATATTGTAAATTAAATTATATCAATAAAATAAGAATCATCAAGTTATATAAAAAATAATATTTTGATCATATTAATTATGAATTATATGAAACTTGTGAAACTTATTTAGTAAGTAAGATGATCAAAATACTTTTTACTGACAAATATAAAGGACTTAATGAATTATTAGGTCTAATACATATATATATATATATATATATATATATATGGACTAATAATGATTTGTGCTATAAATAAATATATGCATTTCATCATATTTATTAATGATCATTTTAGATATGATTATGTGTATTTAGTAAAAAATAAGTCATAATCATTTAAAATGTTCAAAGAATCCAGAAAGAAAGTTGAAAAATAAACTAGAAAGTATATCAAGATACTACAACTAGACTAGATCAAAATGGTAAATGTTTAAGCTAAGAATTTCAAAATTATCTAAACAAAGTTAGGATTATTTCACAATGTAGCTCTCTTGAAGCACCACAACAAAATAGAGTTATTAAAAGAAGAAATTGCATTCTAACATATATGATATGGTTTGTGATGAGCTATGTAAATATCCCTTCTTCATCTTCTTTTTTTTAAGGTCATGCCCTATATCTTATCGCTTACCTTTAAATTAGACTTTCAATAAAATATATTGATAAGATTAGAAATGGATATATACAAGATCGAACTTATTATGCTTAAAGATTAGAGAATTTGATGCAATGTGAAGCATATTGTATATAAAAAGTAGGAACTAAGTCAAATATATGTAAATTTATGAGACATTTAAAAGAAACTATTGGACCAAGTGCTGGACCTAGCCCTTAACTCTCCTTTTCTTTTTCTTTAGATTTTTTTTTTTTACCCTACAAAAAATGTTTACTAGAATCACTCACTCTTTATTTTTTACATGATTCTTAAATTCTATTATAAATTTTTATTTGAATTCTAATATTTTTTTCCAATTATTATTTATCTAATATGAAAATACTGCTGCTGTTACTAATAATAATGATAATAATATCTACCACTACCATTACCACTATTAATAATAATAAAATGTTGAAAATTTGATTAAAATAGTGTTTTATTATTATAATTTTTAAATATATTTTAAACATATTTTTATTTAAGTTTTCAAAATATAAACACACTATTTTGATACTTACTTTAACAATCATAAAATATTTATTTCTCAACATAAACAATGATTTTAGTTAAATTGGTTAAGATAGACAAGACATACATTAATAGAAAAATTTATCATCATGAAAAAATTTCAAAACAAATGTATTTTGTAGGTTAATGATTATGCTAAAAATTTCTTTCCCTACAAAAATTTTTTCAGAAGGATTTTACTTTCAAGGTTAACAACAATGAACCATGTCTTTTTTACAGGTCCCCAGAACATAATGGGGACATACAAATTAATTTCATGCTAAAAAAACATGGTCAAACTAACAAATCAACTAGCAAACTACTATCAAATAGATATAGCATCAACACAAAATCTAGAGACAAGAAAGCCTATTATTAAAAGGATACAAGAAAAAAGAACAACGAAAAAGAACATGTAATAAGTGGATTGTAGAATCTGGCAATCAGGAAGTGAAGTGGATGAGGGAGGGGTTCATAGAATCTGTCTGAAACAAAGCAATTATTTTATAGATTAGTTTATTTTTTATTTGGACAAAATTTAATGAGAAGATTGAGATCCTATCATGCCATGATGTTTATTAAATCTATATCTTTGAATTCAACTTGAATAGATGTGATTTAATGCACATTAACATCTTCAGTCATTATTTTCTTTCTTTCACAGTTCAAATTATTGAATTAAACTTGAAATATGACAGATAGATGAAGTCCCTAAAAGACGCAAATCGAGAGAAAGAGCACGGCGGATATGCCAATAGCAGTTCCCTTATTATTAACCAGAGAGGGCTTCCGGGCACCATGTCGGGGCTTAAATCCGTCGACATTCAAAGGACTTAAGAGTTGCAGGGGGACGGGGACAGAAATATTGGCCAGACCATCCATCAATAATGCTCAAATTAGTTTAACTTGAGTAGGAATTAAGGCAGGCAACAACTCTAGCCACTCTCATATTGGAATACAGAGATGAAGCAGAACCAAAAGCACAAGCAATTTTCACAGAGACTGAAACTTTTGAGCATTTTAATAAAACAAGGTAAATAATATATAATAAAGCTTTGATATCATATAAATTATCATGCTCCTGCAACTGGTGCAAACATTGGAATACACAGATTATCAAGAAAAAGAAAGAATTGTAATAGCAAAAACAAAACACCATGCATCATCTAAAATCACTCTCTTCTCAATCACAATCAATAATTAAAAATATGGAAAAGAGAGGGCTGAGTTAATTAATGGCATCACACCTGCGCCTAATCTCGCCTCTCCTCCCGGTCTTGATCCCATAAACACTCAGCTTCTCCATGGCTCTCGCAAAATCCTGAAAGAATTTCTTCTCATCCTTGGCATAAATCTCCACAAAAGGATTTGTCATTGGGTTGTTATGTAACCCATGATCTGACTCTAATAGCCCCAACCCTTTACCCAAATTATCAAAATACTTATTATCAAAGTTATTTGGTGTCATTATATCATTGAACACCGACAGAGTTGGGTTCTTTGGATAATCCGCACAAGCATTTCGCAACGCCTGAACAAATCTCTGATTATAATGCGTGTCGTTATACAAATAACTCTTGAACTCCTTGCAATGAGAGAAACCAATTGTATGAGCACCGCTCAGTGCCACCATTTCTTGGACACCGAAACCTTTAGCAGCAAACAAGCTGATAATTTTAGACATAGGCATGGTGGGTCTTGGCAGATTTCCTTCAACATACGAAGATTTACTGATGCGGTAATCTTTGCGCCCGAGGAGGACATTGTAGAAAGGGCCACCGACCATGGTTACGAGATCGCGGGTCGCGGTGGCGAGGATGTCGGCGCAGGAGACGGTGTTGGGGCAGGAGAGCTCGAGGGCGGTCTTGGCGCGAGTGACAAGGTCGAAGGCGTCGCCGGGTAAGGAAAGGTTGATGTCAGCATCACGCTCGGCGGAGTTGAAAGGGGTGGAGGAGATGAGGATGGAGGCATCGCAGCCATTGGTTAAGCAGTCGTGGAAGAAGAGGCGGAGAGTGCCAGCTGCGGTGCTGGGGCTGGTGATCTGCTTGCTGGTTACTGTTTCTTGCATGATTTTGTTGAAGTTTGGACAGGATTTGGAGTAGTAGTTGTAGGAGAGTCTGGACTGGGAGGGGTATATGAGGGAAGAGAAGGAGATGAGAATAAGGAAAAATTGCTCCTTTGGCATTGCCATGCTGCTAATTACTCCTTCTCCAGAGAGGAAGCGGGCCTGGTGGTGGTGAGGCGGCGCTTTTTAGCTGCAAAATGAGCAAGCAGCTAAGTGTTATTCTGAATGGGAAAGGACTCAAGGGACTGTGGTCGATGGGAGTATTTTACTAAAACCTTTTACTTCTGGCTTTTGAGTGCGAGAGAGAAGAGGGAGCACGCGCCACTCTCTTCACCACCAATCACGGGATGCATGCTCCCAGGTACGCCCACTGAGATGAGTAAATGGCGTTCCTCCCTCTCATTAAATAAAAATAAAAGAGAGATTTAACTGAGATGAGTAAAGGCTATTTGTTTTTGTTTAATAAAAATATTTAATTTTTAAAAAAATAATATTTTTTTAATTATTTTAATATACTAATATTAAAAATATTTTTTAAAATAAAAAAATATTATTTTAATACATTTCTAAATAATAAATATTTTAAAAAACGATCCCAACTATATTCTTAAACTCCTCTCATCATTATTAGAGTAATTTAATACTAAAATAATAATTTATTAGTTATTTTTAATATTTTATCTTTTTTTGAATAATGTATTTTTTATTTTTTTATTTTTATATCAATTATTTTAAAATAAATTACAAAAAAATAATTGCTAGAATATCATTAATTATTCTTTAAACACCGTATAATTTTTCATCACTGTAGTGACATATGTAATGACATATGGTATATATTTTTATATAAATATAAATATATGGATGTGTTTTAATTTTAGCAAAAGGATGCATGCATGCGGTTTGGTTCATGAAAAACATGAATTCCTTTATTTTTTATCAAATCAATTTTCCTTATATTTTTATTGATTCTAATTTCATATAAAATAAAATTGTCACAAATTCTAAAAACTAAAAAAAATTATATAATATTTTTTATTTACTTATCATTGGAATTTTTTTTTCAGATTAGTTATTTATGTACGGATATTTTTATGTTATTTTATAAAGTAAAAAAAATTAGAGAAGCGAGCAAGAAATTTTTTTCTGAATTTTTTATATTTTTATTGTATTCTTTTGATCTTTTCTAGCCCATCTTATAATTATTTACCAGTTGAGGTTTTTTATTTAGGAAAAATGTTTTGTTTTATAAAGTCAAAAATAAGATAAAAAATTATGAATTATAGCTGGATTTTTATATTTTATATTTTATATTTTTTAATTTATTTATAAATAAACCTTAATAAATAAATAAAATTTATGACAAAAATAAGAAAAAATAATATAAAACACGTTTATAAAAGAAGAGGAAAGATCACAATAAAGGGCAATCCAACCATTTAAACCTTCCATCCAATCTTTCTAGCTGTTATACCCAATGATTGGGCCAAGCCCAAAAGACTAGTAAGAGTTGTGTTGATGGGTTTGCTCTCACAAAGCCCAAACAATTATTTGCCAATGGAGGATTGATTTGAGGCCCTTAAGTGAAGAGGAAACGTGGCAGTCAGAGGAGAGAGAAGCACGAGACTATTCTCTTAATAATTGGGAAAGAGGTTGATATCGGAGCGTGAAAAGAGCACGGTGTCGGCGCTGGAGGAGCATGGCGGTGGGCATTTACAAGGCGGCACGGAGCAGAGGAAACAATCAACGTAATTTGCAAACTGTTAAGAAGCTTTCCTACCTCTTTCTCCCATGTTTCAGTACACTTGAAGTTCGTGAAGCTCTATCTATACCAACGTTGGATTCCACTCTGGGTATCCTCTGCTATTGAATCTCTACATGAACACACGCATCAATGGATTGGAGATAACGTCTTGCACAGTAATTTTGTAAGTTTTTAATTCTTTTATATTTTTAATTATTTTTGAATCTATGTATTGATATTCAAAAATAAGTTTTTAAAAAGTATTATTTGAATTTATTTATAAAAATAATACTTTAAAAACAAGCTCCGATGATATTCAAAAATAAATTTTTAAAAAATATTATTTGAATTTATTTCTAAAAATAATACTTTAAAAACAAGCTCCGTTACACCTCATACCCGCTCAATTCATCCAAATTTGTAGATCACCGAGGAACATGAGTTGCCCTTTTAACCTTAACCTTGAGTAATTAAAGTTGAAATCTTGCTTTCATGTTGTTTAATTCTATAGAAGTAGTATACATGGAGGTTCCAATAAAGCTTTAGAAGAATAGATTATCAATTTGATTCTCGGACATGTGGTGGGGTTGGGTTTGTTTCAAAGCCAAGCTGTTCATTTCATGCAATTTTAGACCTTATAATTCAATTACCATACATGTCATTGATGCATACTACAATTAGCATTTTTTTTAATAACTAGATTAAATACTAAAAGATAATTATTTTATTATACTTTTCAATCACAAGTTAATAGGAAATTGTTTTATTATTATAATAGATACTAAAATGTGTAGGAATGCAAATGTGTGGGAAATGCATTCCTGATGGTCCATAATGTTTTTCTCATTCTACCCCTCTCAAAAATATCATTACCACATTTATACGGAATTGATCAATCTTTTTATATGTGTTGTGCATAGTAAAATGATACATTTGAAATATTTTTTTTAAAAAAAAATTAGTATTAAGGGGCATTTTTATCCTTTTAATTTTATATACACAATAAAATAACTAAATTACTTATAAAATATTTATTCTTATTTCACTAATGATTAGGGATATTTTGATATTTTTAGAATAGTGTTTAACCCAGTGTAGAAGTTTCATTGAAATTTCAATTTTTAATATAAAATAAAGTTACTTAACTGCTATTGAAATAAAAAAAAATTAAAGTTTTTTTTAGTTGTTTTTATTTTTTGATCTTGACTTTTTATTTTTAGTTATTTTAGGGTTAAAGAGCCCTTTGGACTTTTAGTAAAATATAAAATATTAAAAAAAAAATTGATGGCATGTGTATGATACACATCAAAAGGTCAACAATGAGGTAGTGTCATGTGATTAAACATCAAATATCGCTCTCAAAGGTGGCATTGAAAGTGTGTCAAAGTTTTTTATGTGGTGGTGTGACATGTATGCACAATAAAGCTCTATATGAACCATCTAGGTGGTGGCCAAGTGGTAAGTACTTGGGATCAAGGGGTTTGCTCTCTCTGTGGTTTTAGGTTCGAGTCCTTGGTTGCTCATATGATGGCCACTGGAGGCTTACATGGTCGTTAACTTCAGGACACGTGGGATTAGTCGTGGTGCGCGCAAGCTGGCCCGGACACCCACGTTAATCTAAAACAAATAAAGCTCTATATGAACCATCTAGGTGGTGGCCAAGTGGTAAAGATTTGGGATTAAGAGGTTTGCTTCCTCTGTGGTCTCAAGTTCGAGTCCTTGGTTGCTCATATGATGGCCACTGGAGGCTTACATGGTCGTTAACTTCAGGGCCCGCGGGATTAGTCGTGGTGCGCGTAAGCTGGCCCGGATACCCACGTTAATCTAAAAAAAAAAAACTCTAATAAACTTTTCCTTTCTCTCTTTTCTTGCTAGACTATTGATGTGTCATATCATTTATTTTTTATATATATTTTGACCTTTATTTTTTTGATTATTATACAATTATTTTTTTAATCTTATTTTTTTAATTGTTTTCTTTATTTTTCATGTCAAGTTTAGTTCTTATTATTTTGATATTTCATTTCATTTTATTATATATTTTTTTTAATTCATCCCTAAGCATTTATTTTAAATTTATTTCTATGTCAAATCCGATCAATATTATTTTTATTGTTGTTTATTTTGTATTGAATGTATTTTTATTGTATTTCTTTCAATTTAATCTATTAACATCTATTTTGTTGAGAATTTTTTTTTTGTTGTCTTTTCCCCTTCTATATAGAGTTAGTTCCTGCCTCATGATAAAAAATTACAAGTTTTGAAAATTAATTCAGATAAACTTTATTTTTTTAATATAATTTTTTTAAAAAATATTCTTTCCAAACTACCTTTATTATTTCCTTTAAATCCCATGATATCTCTAGTAATTTAAGAATAAAATTGAATAAAAAAAATAATTAATTATTTTTTATAAAAAATAATTAATTATTTTTTTTATTCAATTTTATTCTTAAATTACTAGAGATATCATGGGATTTAAAGGAAATAATAAAGGTAGTTTGGAAAGAATAGTTGAATAAGTCTTACCAATGAAATGGAAGAGGACAAGATTTGGCCTCGGAGTTCTGGCATGCTTGGCGCCCTCTCTCTCTTTTCTTTCCTCCAAAATATCTATTGATTTAAAATAAATAAATAAAACGGCTTTGTTTATAAAAATGTCGGTGTAAGATGTCTGGTTGTTCTTTTGCCGCAACAAAAACAGGGCATAGGTCATGGGTCATTTTATGTGTTTTGAGATTATTTTTTTCTGTATAATCTTAAACAATGTATATTTAATATTGATCTGATGAATTAACAAGAATAAATTAATCTCAATATTAATTTCAAAATTCAAATATAAAAAAATAATAATCAGAAAATGAATAAATTTTCTTGAACCCCTGAATTCCACAAATTAACAACCCTCATGTGGCCAGATCAGAGAGAAGACCAGCACCGCAAAGAAAATAAGCAAGAAAAGCGTTCTATTGTCTACACCGGCAAGATGAGGGGACATGTGCATGTGCTCAGGCGGTCCCACCTAAAGCATTCATGTGGGGTTCCTAGAAGTTTCCAAATTAACAGCTAACTTGGCATCCAGCCATGCAACACAGCTAGGAAAATAGATGAATCAGCGTTCAGGGCCGCGGTTTCCCGCTAGCTGCAGCTGTGAATTGGTGGCGTTTCTCTGTCGTCGTCTCCTCTTTTTTGTCGATGCTTGGCTGGGATGGATCTAGAAAAACTATATATATATATATATATATATATATATATGAAAGTAAAAAAACAAAGTCAAATTTTATTTTAATAAGTTATATAAGTATAATAAAAAAAATTCTTAATTTTCATATATAGTATTTTATTACATTATAATAAATACCAAAAATTAAAAATATATAATATAGACATAAAAAAATAGATAAAAAAACTTTCAATTAAGCCATCTTTGACAATTTTTTATTAAGTGTAACTCATCCATAATCATATATTTTGTGAAGTCTAAAATAATTTTTTTCTACATAGATAACTAAAATTTCAACAAGAAAACCATTATTTATTATGTTACAAAGCCTTGTTTTGATCAACTTCATTGTAAAAAAACTTTTTTGATTTTTATAAATACATGAAGAGTTAGGGATAGTGAAATTAATGATAGGTTTTTTTTTTTCAACTTCTAGAAGTTATCA